AACGGTGTAAGGTTTCTTTAACGCGCGCGCGATCCACGGAGATTTTCCTTGGCCGAAACATAAATCCCGAAGTTCCGCAAATTGCCCCGGCCAAGTCCGGATTTCTCGCTGGATTAGAAATTAACGACCGTTCGCGCGCGAATAGCGCTGCCCCGTTGCTTCGTTCCTTCCGCATTCCGTGCCGCATCTTTCACCCCATCCGTATGCGTACACGACGTTTCGATGATTGTTATTTTCCTTATTTGTGCGGGATTACGTATAAATTAAGTGGCACTGAGCCCTCGCCCCCTTCTCTCTCTCTCTCTCTCTCTCTCTCTCTCTCTCTCTCTCTCTCTCTCTCTCTCTCTCTCTCTCTCTCTCTCTCTCTCTCTCTCTCTCTGCCTTTGTCTCAGAATCGCCTGAATATCCGTAGGAACTAATTCCTCGAGTAAGAAGTACTCATCTGTAATCCTTGATACGACTGTATGTGTGACTTTACACGTGCAATGCGCGCGCACACACACACGCGCGCACGCGCGTGTGGAGTCTCTCTTTTCTCTTTCTTCGCCGGGAAAAGTGCGACACACGCGGTCGGCGCGGCGCGCCCGATCGAATGTGTCAAAGTAAACGGTCCTCCGTCGGAACGAAAAATTCCATCCCCTTTCTCGCCGCTCTCAGCGGCGCTTCCGACTTTCGCGAGCGCGCTTGAAAAATCCCCGGCGGAGAAAGTTTGTTTACGAACGGGTCGCACAAGGGGAATACGATTCGCCGATCAACCGGATATTCGAACGAACGAGTTGTAAGTCGGCTGCGAGTTACCGGCCGCTGCGAAGGCCGGAGGTGTCGCAGGTGCGAGATTATGTTATGTCTGCGCGAGCTTCGGCGAACGTCGAAGCCGTAGGTAACCGCGTCTCACTTCCTGCCGCCATTCTAAATCCGTGCGAAAGCCTCTCGATGCTCGTAATGCACGTAAATTAGGATGCACGGAGATCGCGCCTTATCCGGTCTCCGATTTAATTCCCGAGGGCGGGGGAGTGGAAGGAGGCGTGTGCTTAAAAGTGCTCTTTTGCTCGACCACCCGAGCAAAGATGTCGGACGGACTCGCGCCGGACCGGCTTGAAATTCGATATCACGTGTGGAAAATCAAGCGTATAATTACCGGTTGTATTATACGTATCGTAAATTTTTTTTTTTTTTTTTTTTTTTTTTCCAAGAGAGAACGAGAGAAAAACTCTCTCGGCGAAATATACATATTACACCGATCGGATTTCTCATCTTCAGACGTGTCGAATGGCCGACGACGGAAATTGATATTTCTCTTCCTGTCCCATCGGTCGACACGGCCGCCGTTAATCGTATTATTATTGATTATATTTATTAACAATAACGTTGAAGTCTTTAGTGTCGGGCAATTTTTGTGCAAAGTTTGCCCAAGTTCGAGCCATCAAATGACTAGTGACGAAAATCAATGTTTCTCTTCCTGTGCCATCAGTCGATACGGCCGCCATTAATCGTATTATTATTAATAATTATATTTATTAGTAGTAACATTGAAATCTTTGGTGTCTTTGTGTGCAAAGTTTGTCCAAGTTCGACACGTCAAATGGCCGACGACAGAAATCGATATTCTCTTCCCGTTCCATCGGTCAACACGGTCTCTCTATTAATCGTATCATTATTAATTACATTTATTAGTATTATTATTATTTATTTGAAGTCTTTAGTGTCTTTGTGTGCAAAGTTTGTCCAAGTTCGACACGTCAAATGTCCGACGAGAGAAATCGATATTTCTCTTCCTGTTCCGTCTGCCGATACAGCTGCCGTTGATCGTATTATTATTAATTATATTTATTAGTAGTAACGTTGAAAAATCTTTAGTGTCGCGGTCTTAGTGCAAAGTTTGTCCAAGTTCACGCAACAGCCATAGCGTCGGGACATCGCATGCGTCCTCGGCTGGAGTGTTATTAAAGCGAGTCGAAGGCGCGACTCGCTCGAGACTCGAGACGCGAAACACGCCAACGTGTCTGGCGTGAATGCGAATTAAGGGCGAGAGGAGGATGGGGCGAGGGGGCCCGCCGGAGGGGAGGGGGGATTTCGATTCTGTTCGTCGTGTAACGAGAGTCTGACGACGTGCGCGCAGAGGCTCAGCTAGGAGAGCTTAAAAGAACGTCCGAATGCATTATCATAAACAGCGAATCTCGCCCCGGCCGAGGCTTCTGCGTATTATGACGTGCCGCCTGGCGGTGTGCGCCACACGCAAGGTGCGACCGATCTTCGATTTATCCCGTCACGTGCGTCACGTCGTCCGGCCCGAATCGGGGTCCGCAGGAACGCGGGCTCCGCCGATATGCGATCCCATCTCGACGTAACTCTCTCGGCTCATGATTAATGAGCGTCGCTTCGAGGTCGCCCGAATGATTCTCCTCCGACGACGCCGAAGCGCTCGGCCGGCTCTGCCTTCCCTACGAGAGAAAAGAAAGCACGAAGCATCGACCACATCGCTCGAATGTCTCCGTCGGATGCGATCGTCGCTCGCTCGCTGTGCGTGATTTCGCACTACGCTGTTGAACGAGAGAAGTACCGGGGGATCAATCCACGCGTGTGTCGACGGGCCGCGCAGCGGTAGTTCTTGGACACCCCGTAGAGCGCGATCTAAAGAACGTCGTACCGGTGGTAGCAGCCGCGTCGCCGCGCCGCGCCGGCCGGCACCACCACACCGAGACGCAGCACGAATACCGATTGCACAGGCGGCGAAAACAACGGCACGTTCTCCTCGGGAGATTATCCTCGTCGTTCCGAGCCGAAGCTCCGCCGATAGATCGATCCTCTTTGTCGCCCGCATACCTCTCGACTTAACGTCTCTTCGAGGCTGTCCCGCCGCCTCTCCTCCCGATCCGTCCCGTCCCGTCCCGTCCCGTCCCGTCCCGCCACGGCGCGGCGCGACGCGGCGCAGCGCGATGCGGCTCGCACACACGTCGCCATCCCGTTGTGTTAGCTAGCTCTCGGACCGTCGACAGGATCGTGGCGAAATTCCGCGGCGCCTGCCGACGACGGTGCGTCGCCATTTTCGCCGTGGCCAATTGCATGCATCGGCGAGAAGAGAAAAGAGGTAGAAAAAGGGGGCGGGAGAGAAGGAGGAGGAAAGAATCGAAAGGGAACGCGCGCGACTGTCGCGTCGAATCGAAAGTAGACGAGTTTGCACGTAGCGGGTTCTGTTTTCGTCGAGCTCGGCAGCAACGAGCTTTCGAAGGAGAC